AAGTACTGTGAATATCGTTCCATTTAACAGGCAAGTAAACTGAGGTACAGAATGGTTATGTTACATAGCTAGAAAGCAAACAAGCTGGAAAATAAACCCAAGCTGTCTGGCTCCAGAGTGTTTACTTTTTAGCTGCCCTGCTATAGTTTTTCCTAAACATATATAGAGATATGTGCTCAACATTCCTATAAGAAATAATCACCAGGTCAGTCAAATCTCAGCTGTAAAGCACTTGAAGTTCACAGAGGAAGGTGCTACTTAAATATGAGGCCATTTCACCTCAACTTTATAGCCCCCTTTTTATCAATATCACTCAGCATTGTAAAACAACAGGTGTGTTGGGGTGCTTTATAAAAACAGGTGTTTTTCTGGGCTGTATTTACACTTACTTAACCCAGTGTGTCTGGGCATGATTACTGGGTACTTCTTGGTTATGCAGAATCTTCCACGAGAAGCTGGCATGAAAAGAGAGAGAGCAGGAGAAGAGGTAAGCAGTGTTTCTCCTCAGGAATCACTGTAGGCTCCAGCTCCACCTCAGTGACTGCACACCAGACTCTTCTTTCCCAGGTATCCTCCTTCTTAGTGTCTTTCCCAGTTTTCCAGAAGGACCAGTGATCTCCTCACTGGAACCTGCCTGCTTAAATCTTACTTATTAACTATACATAGATATGGCAGACTGCGATTACAGTAGAATTGTTTGAGAGCACAGTATCTCACTTCTTCCCACGAACCTTACCCTGGGAATTGCTTTGTACTTTCATAGTACCATGTGGTGGTGTGTCTTTAATAACCATCAATAAAGATAGGCTTGGGAAAACACGACAGCCACAGACTCCTCTAAATTCACCTGATTGCAACAGAGTAGAGCTGTCTGCAGGGGTATCCCAGCTGCCCAGAGGTGGTCGCCAGTAGTGGTCAAAGTAAACCAGCCCTCTGATTCAGCAACCAGAGAAAATTTGGAAAAATAGACTGACCCTCTGAGGGTTCCATTAAATTGCCAATAAAATATACTTCTTTAAGTCAAAGTTCATTTATGCATTTATTGTCCGAATATTTAGAAGTTAATTCAAGTTAAGTTCAGGAAATTGCAACCTGGATTATTTTAACCCCTGACTGTATTGTCTGATTACCATCAACACAGGTTCACTGGATACGAAGAAAATAAGCCGAGACTCCTCCCTTCTATCCAGATGACAGGTACTTCTAAACACTCAGTCTAGGTTTGTCTCAGGTGCCAGACTTTGAGGGACTGTCAGAGCCTAGGGAGATAAAGGCCACAGCTGGATACATGCGTGATACATGCACAGCTTGACAATCTCCTCAGGGAACCAGCAACACTCTGGGACTTTATCAAGAGCCCTTTGTGGGTCAGGCAAGCCTGCTGCACACCAGCGTGTCACAACAGAGCTCCCTGGCTCCTCTCAGCTTTCAGTCAAGGCTGGCCGTGGAAGTCCGACCCTGCAAAAGGAGAAGTTCCTTTTCTCTACCTCATATAACGTCTCACCCCAAGCTCCCTCGACCTTTTCCATTCTATGGGGCTTTATGTTATGCCTACAGTAATATAGACAGCACGGAACAAAACTAAATATTGAGGAAAAGTGGGTTCCAGAGTTCTATAATCACAGACCTGGTCTCTCTTTCTGAGATCTTGCCAGGAAAGCTCTCGGAAGGCACTGGATGCTGAACTAAAGAGCTCTAGGCTCAGCCCAGAAGAGACTATGGTTATCACCTTTCCAGGTCTTTCCAGAACCTGCTCAATCATCTTCTTACTAAGTGAGATCACTTCCCCTCACTTCTTCCCTCTTTGAAAAAGGATCTTTCCTCTTTGCTCCAAAGATGTGTCCTCTGGATTACTGATATTATATACCAAATTGTCCTCTCTGTTCCAGTTTCTGGAAATCTTATTGTTGCCTGTGGCTGAGAAAGAAAAATTGGTTCTTGCCTGGCCTCTCAGCTCCCTGTCCTGCCTTGACTTTCTAGAGATACTCTTGACCAGAATGCTTATCTATCCTTTACTCTGTGCCCTCACTAGCCCAGGGTCCAGCTGAATGTCTCCATCACTACCCACTTGAATTTTCTCTCTCCCTTCTTGGGCCTCACACTGAAGTCCCTCTAGTCTAGATCAGAAGGCTATATATAAGGACGAAAAGTTATAACGGACTAGAAAGTGCCTTGTCAACTGTCAAGTACTACAAGGCAAGGGAACTCCGTGAAAAAGATTAGAAGGTCTCAACTTTGCTAGAACCCACCGGAGGCTTAAGGTGTAGTTGTGGTTGCTGCCTGTATCACCTTTTCTTGTTCCCTAAGATATCTAAAAGGAAAATATATATTTCACATGCAAATACTATTTATCGACCATTTGGAAAACCCCTTATTTTTCTTGCTTTTCCCTCTGCTAAATGTGAAGTCAGCCAGCAGTTCAATATGTTCGTGCTCCAATGCCTTCACCATATTACTAGCACCACGCCTTCTCTGGTCCTAACAAAAGCCTAGTATTGACGGAGCACAGATTCAGGGGCTAGAAATATTCTCTCCCCCAATCTTCTTTTCAGAGCACAAATAAGGGAAACATACTGGCAATTATAAGAAAGATGGGGTGGCATGTGGCTTGCCTTGGTTTGTTTGACTGTGAGGCAGGCTGACTGTCTTGTGTGGCCCCTGGGAGTGGCTTCCTATCTCCTGAAACTCTAAAATCAAGATCCCTTCTTTTCCAGAGGTTATAGGGTGATGAGTAAATCCAAGAGAGAATCACAGAGCAGCAAGCCTGAAATTTAACTATGCTCTGTGCTGGGCGTTTTCTGACATAATCACTCACCAGTACATAGCTCTAGTTCTCAACTGGAAAAACCATCTTTGGTGGTAATGTTAGTCACTTGCCATAGATGATATTTCAAAATGTTCTTATATAGATACTGCACGGCGGGTTTCTGGACTGGTAAGCAGGAAACCTGAGCCTATTCTGGCTTTGCTATACCCTCCCTGAGGAGACTGTTTGACCTTGGGCAAGTCGCTTCTTCTGGGGCTCAATTTTCCCAAGCATTCAATGAATGAACCCATTCAGCCTTTTAGGTATCTTCCTCTACCTTCCCCCCGTCCCTTTTCTCTAAGCTGAGAGACGATGCAAGGAAAATGGTAATGGTGATTTTCATTAAAAATATGTTGTATACACACATTCCATATCACTTTCAGGCCCCTAAGTCTTACCTAAATGGTTTTCCTGGCTAGCTGAGTTTTGTTTTTGATTTTGATTTTTTGAGAAATTTGATCTGCTATCACCATTTGAGCAGCTATCAGCAAGCCAAACAAATGTGTGTTCTAGGCTGAAAGGTCCCCACCCTCCCGAGCCTTCCAGAAGCCCTCACAGGCACCAGCGGGGGTGTAGTTCTGAGCTCTTCACACACATAGGTGCAAGTTATATCCCTCAGGAATATGCCCTCCTACATCTCTGACTTGAAGGCTTGCCTCGCTGCAGTGCTGCTCAGAGGGTAAACAGTTAGCCAAGAGCACATTTAGAGCCTTCCCACCAGACTGCTGCGGGCAGCCTAAATGTGGGAGTTAAGCCATTCCAGGGTGCCCTGCCCCCACTCTATTGGGAAAGGCTTTCTTGGCAACCATCCTCTTTCAGAGCCCATTAGAAAGTGCACATTCCCGCGGTCTCACTGGGTCTAGTCAAGTTTTCCAAGAGGGGGTGGGGGTGGCGGAAAGCACTACAGGCTGCTGTTAGCCAGTGTTGAAAGCTGCTGTCTTCTGCCCCCACCCCCAGTTTGCAGTTTGAGGCCCCTGCTTGGCCAAGAACCAACTAGGAAGTTTTGTTCAAAAGTAGTGACTTATTTTTATCAAAGGTGGAATTCAGAGTTGCAGTTGTTTATAATGCCTCTGCATGGCAACCAAGACTCTTGCTCCGAGCACTCTGGAATCCTCTTCTCTCTGTAGGCACTTGGCTTTCTTGCCCATTCCTTTCTCCATCCAAAAATTGGGTACAGAGCAGCTCCACTGCCTCAGAAGGGAGAAGAAGTTCTGAAAATTCAAAGTGTCTTTATTAATGTGTCTTTTTTAAATCTAGACTTTGGTGATGATCACAGCTCTATAATCCCCACCCTAAATTTACCAGGCCCACAGCACTGTGGTGTTGTAGAAAGAGCTCTGAGAGCTGGCTTCTGGCCCCCACTCTGGCCACATGTTGCTGTGGGCTCTCGAGTCAGTTTCTTGCCCTCTCTTAAGCTTGGAGTACCTGCTAAGTGGAGATTGCCTAGGTCAGTTTCCTCAGTCTTTTCAGGTCACAAAATGCTTTGAGATTCTGCTAGAAAAAATAATACGTTCGTTCATTCTTTCAAAAGCATTTATTAAGCTCCTACGAAATATGCATGTAGAGAGATAATTTTGAATTTCATGGGATTTATAGGCTCCCTGGGGTTTCATCCATGAACCTTAAGGTAAGATGTCCCGGTCATGAATTCTGCTGTGATGAGCATATATGGACTCTTACCCAGAAGAACCATAATAATGATTCTAGTAAAGGATCATAAAACTATCAGTCAGGCAGATGCCAGAAAACAGAGGCAGTGAGGCAGTCATTATGAAGGTGATCTCTGGCTTCCCTCCCCTTCCTGTTGCCCCAGCCTGGCACGCGTGCGGGCAAACACGCGTGCACAACAACCGGCCTGGAATGTGCTGTTTCTGGGCACTCAGACTGCAGGGAGCCGGCTGCAGCCCTGGAGAGATGACAAACATCTCTTCTATCCTGGACTTTATTTTTCTCACGGTCTCTGAAAGGGCTGCGATCAGGTGATATGTGTGGGACTGCTCTCAGTACAGGTGCGGAGCAGGTACCGAGGGGAGGAGAAAATCCGCCCAGTGTGTACTTACTCAAGGCTCTTTCAATAGCCCTCCCAGGATAGCTCTTGGCAGGGCAGCTACCATGTCTCTGGCAGGCTGCAGGGAATCTGAGTGTGAGAAAGTCAGTCAAGCGGAGGAAAAGGGGGGGAAAAAAAAACTTCAAGTCCTCAGGCAAAATACCTTTATTCTTCTGCTCTCGCTCTCTCTCCCTTCTGTAGCTTTAAACCAAATCCACAAACCATTCCAATACCTTGGGACAAAGGGGAATCTCACCAGAGATGCATTATTTGTTTTATGGTTTAAAGCAAACAGGTGAAGCAATAAGACAGCAAAAATCACCCTTCTTGAAGGCAGAAAGAGGGGAGGAGAAAACACAGCAGCCTCTGGTTGTACTTACTGGGCATGATACAGTGGCAAAGATGCCTTGTGTCTTGCTGGTCTTATAGTGGGATCAAAGTGACCACTGATGAACAGGGTTCAATTTTCTCCTTGCTTAGGAAAGGGGGGAAGGGAGGAAGATGACTGAAAAATAAAGGCTATCTCTATCTAAAAGGAGCCTTCCAAATCCAAAAGTCTTTTCTGCAGTTTAGGAGCTTAGTTCCCCATTTGAGAAGGGGTGGAGAGAGTGTCAACTTGGTGCTATTTTCACTGCCCAGGATAAGGATACTGAAAAGTGGTCTGTGAGCACATTTGCAAAGCAGCTTTCTTCTTAAATGGTTAGGGTAGAGGGGTGGAGACTTTCTGAGTTGCCTTGTGTGGCCCAGACACAAATTCATGGCAAATTTTTCGTTACCTGACCAACCCCTCTGCCGATCTAAAAATGTGTGTGTGTGTGTGCGTGCGCGCGCGCTTGTGTAATCTATTTGCTCATTCTACCAGTCTAAGCACTCCTAAAGTGGCCATAAACCAGTTGCTGATCAACTATCTGACTGAGGAGGCTGCTATAGGCACTGCAGTGACACCATAACTTGACTATATTCAACATTCTCCACGAACCTTCAGGGTGCCAAATCCTAAGCAGATGACAGAGTCAGACAATAAAGGCTCTTAGGCTAGAAGGCTGAGGAGGTGGCACACCCAGCTAATTAATTAGAGCCCAAGAGCAGACAGCAGTCAAGGTCATAGCAGAGCTTATTGGAAGAAATCACTGGTTCTCATAGATCTGGGGGGAACCTGGAAAGAGTTAACAGACTTCCCTGGGAAGAGTTTAGTTCCTTGGAAGAATCTAGGTCAGAGTATTTAGGCAGTTTTTAAAAAGTCAGATGCTAAGCAGAAGCATTTTAAGAAGCTTGCAAAGTCTACATGTCAAAAAGGAGGGTAACTTCATAGGCTCATCACCTTTTACCAAGAGGATTTCAAAGACACAGGACAACTCCACTTTTTTCAATACCAACAGACAATTTTCTGTCATCACCACTTTTCCATCTGTTTAAAATAAAGAAAAGTCCTACCCTATTGGCCTAGGATGCAGGTCAACAAAGGAGGCATTGTTCATCATTTCTTCAGAATGTGATAGGGCACAGCCCATTCTAGTGTGTTAAGAAAACACACACACACACACACACATCCAGAGAGCAGCCTGAGGGGCAAGAGTGAGTAAACCAAGCCTGCAATGAAGTAAAGGTTTGGCTACAGACTTGAGGGCTGTCCTGGAAGGTGGAAATGAGGTTTGGAAGGTAAATATGGTCAGTCACAATAATTCCTTAGTTAAACTCCAAGTCGCCGGGGGAACATTGAATTTAAGGGTAGGCAAGTTTCTGCTGAACTTGGATCACTGGATAGTGTGTAGTCAACATCCACGTGAACTGGTTCCGGGCAGGTGCTTCCGGGTATCAGCCTACACCTGTCACTTAGGAACCTCCTTTACTGGCTTGAATCTAATTGAGCTCTCTGTCTCCAAACACTACAACCCACTCCCCACACTTTTGCCAGAGCCATCTTTCTATAGGAGAACCCTAATGTCCCTTCTCTATTCAAGAGCATTTCATAGCTCTCCATTGTCTAAAGATAAGTCCGAAGTCCTTTAGCAAAACATCTAAGGGTCTTATGACATGGCCTCAAGCCTCCTCCTTCAATCCCTTCTTATATTCCTGCCAGTCATACACCCTGTGCTCCAGATCATGTTCCCTGAATAAGGACCTCAAGTTCCAGAGTCTTAGCCTTTAGCTATGGGTACTTCCATCCTCCCCAATCCTATGGCTCACCATATTTCCAATGCCCCAATCCTACTTATTTTTTTAAGATACAAAACACAGGCCACTTCCTCCAGTAAGTTTTCCAGGATACTCCAATTTATGAGTAATTTATATATCCTAAACCTCCTCAGCATTTTACTTCTATCTAGACACATAACTGTCTCTATTGAACCTAGGACCTACCAGATGAACACACCAGGAAACACACAACAGCTGCACTCATGCCTATAGTATCTCTGGGCTGTGGGTTTCCTAAGGGCAATAACTATTGTATTCATCCCTGTATCCCTCAAGTAGACCAATACTGTTGCCCATACAGGTGAGCTTTAGAGTTTCTTTTCGGTTCTCCTTACTTTTCAGGCTATCATCTAAGCCCGAAAAAGAATGGAATAATAGAGGAATGCCTAGTCATCAATCAGGAAACCAGGGTCTGTCCGCCTCCACAGTCGACTGGAAACTCCTTGCAGACTGCCTCTATCTCTTCTCGTGGTAATCCCGGGGTTTAACCCAGTGTCTGGCACAGAGAAGGCGTTTTATAATGAAAGTTAAGAGAGCTCAAGGTCGTCCAGAGTCAGGAACCGCTGAATTTCATCTGGGACGAGATCTGGTGAAATCATTTACAACATTATCTCAGTGGGGAGCGCGCAGGAAGGAAGGAATGAAGTGACTGAGAAATGTGTGCCAGGCCTCCGGGCGATCTCCAAGCCTGGGGAAGGGCTGGGAGGGCGGGGGACGACATCAAAGACGCTCGGCCCCTGGACTGCCCCGAGCCGCCCTGAGCTCCCAAGCGGCGGGAGGGGTGGAAGAAGTGGGGGTGCAGAGGTGGACGACCCGGGCGAGCCGGCTAGAGGGAGGGAGAGCGGCGGCAGTAGCGGCTGGTC